AGTGGGGCATCAGCTGTAATGCAGCTCATGCTCAACTCATTTCTACTCTGCAGCCAGCCTGAACACACAATCCCTACTGGGACTGCTCTTGGAGAGTTTGTTATTTCTCTGGTGGTATCTGCTCTTTTATGTCTGGAAACAACACAGAGAATGGATCTAGAAGCGACTTTTACTGCTCTCTGGCAAACTTTCATCTATAAGCATTACTGTTAATTTATCGGTCCTGTCAGTGTTAGAATTCCAGACCCTCTGTGTCTTTATCAGACAAGGAGATTCAGCTTTCGTTGGTGTTTAAATCATGGCTTCTTTTCCACTCAGAACAGTTGCATGAATTAGCCTTGTGTCAGATACACACAAGTGTTTATGCTTAATGTTTTTTCTTACTGTGCCATGGATGGGTGCATATACATTATACGTTCATTTGCAAGAGCAGGTCACAGAATGCACAATGTAGCCATGTAATTTGAGATCTCCTCAGAGGTGTCTTTCTAACTTTCCTGCTTCAAGCCTATTGTTGCAATTCATAATTCCTTCCATCCTTTAGAAGAAGAAAGTTTTTTTAAGAACAACTCTGTTGTGGCTGTTTAAGAACACACATTTCTTTCAACAGAGTTAAAGTATCCCAGGTCTGTGCTTCAATACAGCCCCTGTGAAATCCTGGCAATTGAAAACTGAAATTTTCCGGTGCTTTGCATTCAGTATTTCCCCAAACCACTGGTAAAAGCCTTGAACCTTTGGTCAGTTCTGAAAGATTCAGTTTTAGTATTTCAACTTCAAGTGTCATTACTTAGGGAGTGAAAAAGGGTTAAACACTTTGGAAATCTGGGTCTGTACTTTGTTCTAGTGAGAGTAGAACAGAAAAAGAAGTGTCCTTCATGATAGCAAAAGTAACCAAATTTTTCAGATTAACTGTGTTAAATTCTGGTCACAGAGACAATATGTTTAGTGCATTCTGCCATATGTGTGTCTTCTCTTCGGTAGCTTTCCCTGAACAGGCTCCTTAGGTGGGGACAGAGAGTGTTTTTCTGCCTGAAGGCAGGATACAAGAGCAACAGAAAAAAAATAGATGTAGTAGGGATCTGATGCCAGGAAAGCTGATTCATTTTCAGATCTCATCAAAACACTTATTTGCACATCACTGTATTTTACTATGAAATGCACTAATAATCAGCAGTTATACACAGTCATGTACATAAGGATGCTACTACATTAGCTTCATATTTGGCACTCACTTGCAGGAAGTAACTATTTTGTTGCTGTTGAAATCCAAGGCAAAATTCACAAAGGTGTAACAGTAAAAATTTGATGTGAATCTTCAGGGTCAAACTTAGTGTTGTATGGAAACTGTTGAATCCAGTTTTTTGAATTTAGTTCCAAAAAGGGTGCATATGCACTTTAAATCTAGAGCAGTGGAAGAGTGAGGTACAGCTACAGAAGATGGGGTAGCTTGTTTGCTGTCTGAACCAGAGGACTGTGGTTAGTATCCTCTGGGGCACTAAATAACATCAGTAGATGTTATTGAATGCTCTTTGGAAGGCTTCCTCACAAAATCTACAAAACCCACTCTCTCACATTTCAAACTGGTTGTTTCATGTCTCTATATTAGAAAGTTCATTTAAGCAAATTTAAAATTAGAAAGGGAATTTTCCTGTATTTTCTTTGGAGAGGACTTTTTTTGCAAATAATTTCATTTCTGAATTCCAATTTAGAATGTAAAAAATGTATAATCCAATGTTTTATACGTACTGGCATGAAGTAGGGAAAAATTCAGAGAGGAATTAGGATAGAGAGCTCATTAACTGAAAAGCAGATGGTAGTCAGCTGGAGAATAATCAGAATAATGTTGCATAGCCTTGTCTTTTTACTAGTCTGAAAGGACAGCCCCAGAAAGACACTCTTAAAAAAACCAAAGATTCTTACTATTGAGGTCAATTCAGATGGAAGGGCTATTAGTAAGTGTCTAAGTGGGATGGGAGAGATGTTCTACGTACTGGGGAATCTCATACTAATCAGACATAGATCTTGGAGAGACTCTGCATCCTTTGACTGCACAGTCAGGCTCAACAATCATACTATGCCTGTGCACTGTTTGCAAAGAACACCTGATTTTATTTCACTTTTATTTGAATAAATGTGGTTTGACTAATCAGCTGTATGAAGAAGCAGATAACTCTTTAGAAAAAAATAACCTTGAAACTGGAGACCCCCTGCACATATCAGTAACAAGCTAAATATAAGATGTTTGCTACCTAATCTAGGGGATAAAGAATAACTTCTTGGTGGCAAAACACAGTCTCTTTCCAGTGCCAATGGTTTGAATGAAATCTAGGAAGTTTTACACTTGGAAATATGTTAATGATGTTTTCTTTTTACTTGTTGTGATTTTTTTAAATGTTGTGATTATTCGGTCTGTTCCTCAATATTGAAGTTGAAACAAGATAGTGAAAGTTCATCAATCTAATTAAAGACTTTCATAAGTCAGTTTTTGTGTTGTGTGATTTTTTTAATATTCCTATCTACATTCCCAATGCTATGTAGATGGAACTGCAATAAGCAATAATCAAAATGCACAATCCTTCCATAAAATCACCACATCAGGAATACAGTATTAGTATCCTCTGTATTATTTTGCATGACTGTGGACAATGAATGGCTGCTGAGTGAAGAAATGAAGTGATCTATAAGGTACATATTGCTTTCATTTCTTCAGCTCTATTATTGTAATTTTTTCCAATTTTCTCATAGAATACAATGTTCAAGGAAAGGAGGAACATATCACATACTTATCTGTATAGAGTGCCATTTTAGAAAAGAATTCCTGCTAGATTAGCTGACTGACTCCACATCTGAGATGTGAACTTCTGTAGATTTAAAGCATCTCACAGATGAACACTGTGCTGTTATCATATGTTACCAGCTGGTAAATGCTTTCCTGCATCTGAAATGTTTCTGTAGCCATTGACTACACCTTTGAAATCCAAGATAAATCTTAAAATACTTGTCAATTGACTGAGGACACTTGTGTTTGCATCTGTGATGTTCATTACCCTGTACTTCTGTCTTCTGGAGGAAGAGCATCATATTGTTACAGTCATCAGACAAACTGACATTCATAAGGACTACTGCTTGAAGTTGCAGAAGAGTTATCATAGATTCTATGGTCCTTAGAAAATAATCCAGTTCTCATGCTGGATATGCTCTGTTTGATCAATAAACAACAACAAAACTGAAGTAGGCTGACACAGGTATCATTCAAGCTGTATCTCTTTTGTAGATAAACACCAGACTCTAAGCCTCCTAAGTCTTCAAGAGTCTGTGTTATCTTCAGCAGACTTTGAATTACTACCTGAAGACTTGTCAGAGCTGAAAGCTGTCAATCCAACAAGCTTGCTAATGGTCACTCACCACTCATTTCTTTCTAGAAGAAGTTAAACTCATAAGACACACATTTTAGAGCTTTTAATTCTATAAACAACATTAAGATAAAGCAAAAGAGTTAAAACTGAAGTATTGCTACAGACAAATATAGCAAAACATATGCTTTCACATCCACATTTCATAAAAAACCCTAGGATATGTGCCTTTTTAATAAAAATGTAAACAAATGCCAACTCATTTAAAGAATAATGTAGAACATCTAATACATTATGAAGGATTATAATAGAGCAGAGAGTCTGACAATTTCTAGATAGCATTTGCATGAAGGAAATTGTTGTATTGGAGAACATCTCTTGGCTCTGAATAACCGAAAGATTTATTTCACAAAGATTACAAAAAAGGTATCTACCTACTAATATGAAACTCAAAACCAGAGAAAGTATTTTTTTAGGCTTACAAAAAATATGAAACCAATTAAAAATTTTAATTTTAAAAAATTTGACTGGACTCTCATGTGCCAAAATCAGCTATGTCTATGTTCCTTGTTTTGTATCCTTCTTCTCTCTATTTCATGTATTTAATTCTGTTAGATTGTTTGTTAATCAGTTGAACTGGAGCTGGCTAAACTCTTCAAAATAGATTAGCCCTAAATGGTAAGTTTTTAAAGGAAGTCTACTAGTGCAGTGCTCACAGAATCATGCTCATCTACAGATTACTCCACTAGTAGGAATGGGTCTCTCTTTACAGGAAATGCTTGCTCAGGGATGACCTTTTCTAAGATGTGTCCTAGATTACTCAGTGACTCAGAGGGCTGCCTGATTTCACAGACAGCTAGCCAGCAATAGCAGGTCCATTGCCACATTAGTCAAAGCAACTACATAACATTAGCTAATGTTAAGAGCTGTTTTTTGGAGAAATCCCAGAAAAGCCAAGGACAAGAGCAGCTGTAGTGAACTTTAGTCTGTTTAACAGCAGCATGCAATGTCTTTAGTTTCCCTCCCAAGATTTCAAGATCTCTGTATCAAGACCTCGGGTGTCCCTAGAAATTGACTGTATGGAGACACATCAGACTTTCTTTGTTATTTTTTCTATGCTCCAGACAATGGAGATGAAATGGAAGCAGGATCACAGATTCTCATTTCAATTTGTATCCATTGCTCTGCTTCATCCCCCTCTTTCCATGGACCTTGCTTTCTCACACAGCACACATCTCATTTTTCACTCTCACAGCACAAACCCAGTCACAACCACAAGGTTTATTGTACCACTAAATTACAATACTGCATTGTCTCCTTCTTTATTGTGGAAGCAGCTTACAGGCTGGAATGTCTGGACAGCAGATCTCGAAGTCATGGTGGCTGCTGGCAGGGGATTACCCAACAAAACCTAATCAAGAAGCAACACAAAAGGGAGCTACCTTCTGCCCTGGTAGCTGTATGTATGTATTATTCCCCAAGATAAGTTTTTGCTTTTTTGTGTTTTCAGTGCCACTGATAGGAGAGACACCTGTGAATGAAATCTGAGCTAATACATTCACAAGGCCAAAGGAGTGTGCTACCTCTTTTCTAATTTTCTAATTCAGCAGAATGATCTAGCAAGCAAAAAACCAGAATGGATACTGGAGCCAGTGACTGGCTAGTAAGCAGGACTTCAGAGAGGATCACTGGAAAGTACGCCTGGTATCAAAGTGTATGAAGTTCTGTTGGCATCTTGAGGAGTCACAGAAGTGCTGGTGTTTGTCTTCTGGAAGTCAGAGGCTTTCTTACCTTCAAGCCAGTATGTTACCATGTCTCCTTTCCCCTAAGGAAGAAAATCAGTCATGAGGTTACAATACTATCCATCATTTATGAAATAATTTTTTACTACAGTACAAAAGAAGTCCCAAAAGGAGATTGATGTGCCTGTCAGTGATTTTACATACAGAGAAAATGAGGCATAAGACCTTCTCTTAAAAAATAATGGCAGCAGTATCAATTAAAACAATTCTTTGAAGTCTCATCCAAAATTGGGCACACAAGTATGTTAGTTCTCTTATAGCACTCACATGATGGTTTGTGATGTCTCTGAATGACCTTTTTTTTGAATGTGCCATGCAGGACTTCCAAGCTTGGCTAAGTCCTTCATTTCTGACTTATCAGAGTTGTTCCATGCCAGCCATGGAACCAGCCATTTAATTGGTTCTGGTTTAATACTTGAACGTGCTTTCTTTAGATCAGGAATTAGTCTAACTAAAGGACTGTGAGATATAAAGGACTGCAAGACATAAAGGACTGCATGGGTTAAAATTCAGGGACTCCAGAGTGCTTTCACACTCTCCTCTCTGAAAAGCTGAGCATAGATGTTGCATACACACCTTGACTTGTAAATTCCCACGGCATACTAACACATACTCTCCAATCTGCTCCAACAGTTGGTATACACTTGAACTGCACTGTATTTTAAGAGCTGGAAAAAGAAATAGTTGTCATATTATCAAACAATTTAAACATCTAAGACAGATCCACCCCACAATGTGTACCAAAGATTTCAAGACCCATTAGTGAACTCCCCCTTGGTTTTTTTCATGTCTCTGCTGTCATTCCTCTGTTATTTGAAATGTTCACACACAAGCTCCAGTATCCTGGCCTGTCTGTGAGAGCATCTCACAACAAGTGTGTGGCTGTCAACAAACACTGCTCTTCACTTTCTGCATCTAATAGTATTTGTCTACTCTGTGCAGCTGCCTGGCTGGTGCTACTGATGGGCATCCATTTAATCTGGTGAAGAAAACTGTATATAGTTTTATCTCCTAGTCAATAAAGAGCCAGCTCTTTCTTTGCACATATAATTTTCAGCAAAATCTAAACATTAGAGAAGCTGCTATCCTTGCTCTGACTCCAAACCTGTTAATAAAGACAGGCGGAAAGGATGATATTACCATAATTCCACAATTTTTTTTACAATGTGATTTTTTCCTAGTTGAGATTTTACCTCCATGTAAACCTCACCTCCCTTGCCCTCTGCAGATGGTGGGAAAGGACCAAAGAAGATGACAGATAGACAAAATACTACTTTTGCCAGAAAGTAAAATTTTGCCAAAATTTTAAAAATTGAAAAAAAAAAGCCAAACAAACAAACAAAAAAACCGAAACTGGGTTTTGTTTTATTTCATGTTGAGGGGTTTTTGCCTGTAACAATCAGTGACAGAGAGTAAATCACTATGCTTCTTTGTTTGAAAAAGATCCCAGATTGATGGTAGTACTGTCTAAGATTGTCTTAGTGATTGTTCTTAAATCATAAAATAACAGTTTTATAATATCCACTTTTGTTTGTTTATTTAAATTTTTTTTAAAGTCTCTGAACACTCCCTGTAGATCAGGAAATCTGTGTTTCAACATATATATATATATATCTCAAAAATATTCTTTGTAGTAGGTACATAATATTTTAACTTGTCATCCTGCTTGAGAACAAGGCACTAGAACTCAGATTCCAGGTGATAGCACTTTTTGTGTACATTTCTAGTAAATAATTAATCTATATTAAAGCAACCAACTTAGGGTGAAAACAAGGTAATGTAATTTGAGATCCTCAGAGGTACATGGCCAGGTTTGCAGTTTTGATGTACCATATGAGAAAGAGACTGACATACAGAAAAAAATGAATTATGAACTATGAAGAACGATGGAAGTAGATTTTGAAGGCATTAGTTTTAAGGCAGGTCTGAGAGGATAATTCAAGGAACCTGAAAGGAGGAGGAGAAAGAAAGGAGTTATCTGGGAGACTGGCAGAAAGAAAATGAAATTATGTGCGTTGCACTCAGGCTGGTATTTTCTTTGGAAAAACGTATAAAATAGTGGGAAGGAATAGACCTTCGTAATTCTCAAATCCCAAAGATAATCTTCAAAACCATCATGTAGGACCACTCCACTGCCTTTCTGCCTTGTTTTTAGTGGATGCTGATAGATATCAAAAGCATCACTTTTTGTTGTGAAATTAAACTTGAAGAAAATTTGTATTTCCCTAGTTCACATACACTGCAATGCAGTGTGCAATGCACTGCAATGTGAGCCATAAAACTATTCACCTTCATTTCATGAATGAAAGGAAAAAATCCATCAAGGTCCTTTGACCTTGAATCCCTTTCTTTTCTTATTTTTTTCCCAATTCTTGTTCATTGGGCTAAAGTATATCAGAATGTGAGGTCCAAATGCTCATACTGGCTAAAGATGAAGCAGGCAAACTAAACTATTATGTCCTGGGAAGAAGTGAAGGTGAGAATATCTCCACACTTTAATCACTAGAAATTTCTGTCTATTCTCTTTGCTGGAAGACATATACATAATCTTCTATACCAGTTAGACAGACACAGCTCCCATGTGTCCTACCACCGCTTGTGTTCTCCATTAGAGAAACTTATCAGCAAAAGAGAGGAGTTATGAAAGTATTTTTGCTATAAATTCAGCAGGGTGCCAGGTACAAATAGGAACATCGAGCCTCTCATTTTATCGTATTCTTACTTTTTTTTACCATAGAGAACTTCACAGCGACAAAAATCCCTTTCTAAGACTTGGGGAATAAGGGGATCTGGTTACAAAAATGGTTGTAGAGAATATCACTGTCATAATTTGCTCATAGGCAGATTGGAACCAGAAATCAAGAACCTTCTTACAGGATTTGCAGTTGTTTGAATAGGTCAGGGCTCAAAACTCAGCACAGCATTTTTTCAGAACTCATGCAAGGATGATCAAAACCCCACCTGCAGCTTGTTCCTTATTACCTTCACTGGTAGATTCCATTCTGGAAGCTGTGTTCACTGTGTCTCCAAACAAACAGTACCGTGGCATTTTGGTTCCAACAACTCCAGCTACAACTGGTCCTGTTAAGAAAAATAAAATAAAGCATTTTTTGTTTATAAATCACATAATCAGCATATGGCTGCTTACTACACTAATTTATATCTCATTCATTAACCAGTTAAAGACTGAGTGTCGGTATCGTCTTTACATGGGTTACACGTCTATCTTACACATAGATTCCAGAACCATGGAGGGAATTGCAAAAAGGCCTCAAAGGAGGACAGTGGGGGAAGTGGTGATGTGATGGAGAGTTGTGCATGAATTAAGACATCTGCAGAACCCCATTTCAACATATTTTCAGGGGCAATGGGATAGGAATGCTGTCAATAGGAGTTGCACACGTAACACTCATTATCACATGGAAAGGTAGGAACAGGAAGCAACCTGCTCCTGCTGAAGACAGAAAATGAGAATTTTGGTTCCTTCATGTCAGCCCAAACTGATTTAAAAAATAGAAGATATAATCTCTTGGTGAGATCATTTAATTGGCAGGTGCTGGGCTGCACAGGATAGGTCCAACTCTGACTATCTAACAAGAAGCAGTTGCAATCACACAAAAGATTAGATCAGGGAGCTGGGAGTCTGAGATCAAAGGCTAGACCAATGAGTCAAGAAACAACTCACAGTTTCAAGAAGAGAACATCTGAAAAGGACAAGCAACAGACACAGAAGGGCAGTTCTCACTTGGATCAGCAAAGGCACTGGGACCATGGAATATTTCCAAAGTTGTATTCTGCACTGAGTTACAAATATTCCACGTATCCAATAATTTATTCTGTTGAGATGACCTCTATGATGTATTCCCTCTCATATCAAGAAATTAGCTTCTAAATGAAGTTATGAAGAAATTCCTAATGGAGATAAAATGGCCACTACAGAAGTATTTGTTGAGTCAGAGGAAGACACCTTTGCAGCCCTCTCAACATACCTGAATGTATTCCTGCTCTTATTTTTAGAAGGGTGTTGGGCTTGTGTGGGATCTTAAAAGTCTTGCAGACATCCAGGAGGTCTAAAGCCATGCTTGCAATCTCACCGGCATGAAGGATCCCATTCTCTTTGGGTACTCCTGAAACCACCATATCTTAACACAACAATGCAACTGTGTTAATGTTTGGCATTACACAGATTTACCAAAGTGTGTTGCCCAAATTAGACAAAAAGAACAAACAAACAAACAAAAAGAAGCCCAATTCTGTCATATCCTAGGGCACAGTTGTGCCTCCTAAGCAGAGAAAGCCAGAAACAAACAAAGGCAAGGGCAACTTGCCCTTGCGTGTAATTACCCTAGCTCTGAAAAACGTTGTATTTCCTTCTCACTTTTACACAGGATTTATCCCCTCCAACCCTTTCCTTTTCCCTTCATTGAGAATGCTTGAAATGGAACAGGTAGTGGGAACATGGCTGTTCAGTACCTGTTGTTTTTGGGGAGCTATTATAAAAAGAGGCAATGGCCTATGCTTCCTGCACTATGCTTTGAACACCGATGATGAGCTCTGAGGGTCCCAGAGTGCTGAGCTGGAGGACCATGACTGTGAGAATGATAAACTCCCACTAAAACCTGAACTTATACGGGATTTGCTGCTCCAGCTGGATCCCTGTACATCTATGGGGCCTGATGGGATTCATCCAGTAGTACTCAAAGAGCTGGCTGAAGTCATTGTGAAACCTCTCTCAATGCTTTTTCAATGATCTTGGAAATCTAGAGATGTCCCAGCTTACTGGAAGCTGTCAAATGTCAAAATTTTCAAGAAGGAGAAGAAGGATGACCCTGAAAACCACAGGCCCATCAGTCTCACTTCAATGCCTGATAACATTATGGAGAAGATTATTCTGGGAGTTACTGAAAAATACCTGAAAGACAACACAGTCATCAGTTACAGTCAGCATGGCTTCACGAGAGAAAAGTCTTGCTTATCAAAATTAATTTCCTTTTATGATAACTGATCTAGTTGAGTAAGGGAAGCCAGTTGATGTAATCTTTTTGGATTTCAGTAAATCTTTCAATACTGCCTCTCACAGGATCCTTCTGGATAAAATGTCCAGCACACAGCTGGGTAAACACATCATGTGGTGAGTGAGGAATTGGCTCATGGATCGAGCACAGAGGATAATAGTGAATGGGGTGACATCACACTGGAGACCTGTTGCTAGTGGGGTTTTGCAGGGCTCCGTCTTAGGCCCTGTGCTCTTCAGCATCTTTGGCCTGCAGGTAGGACTCAAAGGGATATTAAGTAAGTTTGCCAATGATACTAAATTGCCTCGAAGGCGGAGAGGCCCTGCAGAGAGACGTTGGCAAATCACAGGGCTGAGCAATTACCAGCCGTATGATATTTAACAAGAGCAAGTGCCTGATTTTGCTGCTGGGGTGGGGAAAGTTTGGGTGTTCCTACAGACTGGGGAATGAGATGGTGGAGAGCAGCCCTCTGGAAGCAAGTCTGGGTGTTGATGACAAATGAACATGTGAGGGTGGAATACCCTTTTTTTTCTGGAAGATTTTGTTATGAGGAGACAGAGGTTTTGCTTAGGAAGGCTTTCTGCCTAAAAGGTAACTCTTTCTCAAAGGCAGTTTCAACACTTTCTCCCCCTCTCTTCATAGGAAGAGAAGTTCTCAGCCTCTCTCTCTGAGATATGAGAGGAGAGAGATAACATTTACAGGAGTGCTACAGGGCCCTTGTGGCCCGGGGAGAGTCAAAGGTGCCAGTGATGATAAAGCCCAGGAGTGAACAGGACTGGTTTGCCTTTTTCTTCCTGGGGCCAGTGCTGCAATAAGCACTGTGAGATATTTGTAAGTGTCTCATATTCTGGCCTTCTAAGTAAACTTTTGAATTCTTTCCACTGTCTTGGCATTTCTGGCTATACCTCTGTAACTTATGTTACAAACATGAGTCAGCAGTGCCCTGGCAGCCAGGAGGGCCAACCATGTCCTGGGGGGCATCAGGCAAAGCATCGCCAGCCAGTCAAAGGGAGGGGATTGTCCCGCTCTGCTCTGCACTGGTACAGCCTCACCTTGGATATTGTGTGCAGTTTTGAGTGCCACAATATAAGAAAGTCATTAAGCTATTAATGCCCAAAGGAGGGCAACAGAGATGTGAAGGGCCTTGAGGGGAAGCCGTATGAGGAGAGGCTGAGGGCACTTGGTCTGTTCAGCCTGGAGAGGAGGAGGCTGAGGGGAGACCTCATTGCAGTTACAACTTCCTCATGAGGGGAAGAAGAGAGGCAGGCACTGATCTCTTCTCTGTGGTGACCAGTGACAAGACCTGAGCGAATGGCCTGAAGTTGTGTCAGGGAAGGTTTAGGCTGGATATTCGGAAAAAGTTCATCATCCAGAGAGAGGGTGGTTGGTTACTGGTTCCCCATGGAAGTGGTCACAGCAGCAAGCCCAACAGAGTTCAGGAAGGGTTTTGACAGCACTCTCAGGCACATGGTATGATTCTTGGGGCTGTCCTGTGCAGCATCAGGAGTTGCCTCAATGATCCTTGTGAGTTCCTTCCAACTCATGATATTTTATGATTCTATGATTCTTTGATTCTATGACTTTGTAGGACAAGAAACAGGTCTCTTCGGGATCTCTCAGGTGCATTTGTTCAGGCATTTTATGCTTGAGAACATGCTGAACTATGGCCCAGAAAAAAAAAGAGTGGGGATTTTTTTTTCCAAATCTCTTACAGGACTTCCTTTCTGTCTCACCCAAAAGTTCTGTTAGATTCCCTTAGGGTTTTGATGGAACTGGGTTTTAATGGTAATCAGTCTCCAGCAGATTCCCAGGGTAGCAAATATAAAACCATTTTCCTAAAAACCCAAAGAGAAGAGACAGTCAAGCCCCTAAAGAGTATTAGAGAGAGAAGATTTTCATGGTCTTTGCAAAAAAAAAAGACAGAGATAATAAAGTTTATGGAATGACATCTAGGATCCCATATAGAAGGTAAATTTTTCAGTTGTGTTCCTGTGATATAGAAGTTGCCAGTTTGATTAATCTGTAGCTAAGGTTTAAAGTCAGGTCATAGGAACTAAATTTAACTTAAATTTAACAGTGGTATTTAACTCATTTCATTTTTCCTGTCCACAACACTCATCAGTTGTACAAATTATCTAAGTTATGCAGGAAAATGTTCCTTAAGTTTTCAGGGGCTCTGGTAGGTAGGACTTATCTCCTTATTGCTTTATGTGGTCTTCTCACTGGTAACAAGCTTTCCAAATCTCCTTCATCTGTTCTTCCTTGTCATCAGATTAGTCTGTGCCTGGATGCCCCATAAGCCCCACCACTGTCCGTAGCTCAAGGAACTTACAGGCATCTCCTATTGTCTCCACCTTATAGACATCATAGTTATCTATGATTTCATCAAAAGTAGTATAAAGCTTGTTCAAGAGATCTACCACTTGGTACGGTGTGCTGCTGCTGGACAGCTGAGTGAAGCCAACAATGTCACTGTTAAAACACAACAGAAAGAACACACTCATCCACCATCTTAAACATTGCAGATTGGTAAACCTAAACACACAGTAATAATTTCTCATTGGAATTGTGTCAATCTTCTCTTTTTCGGTATTTCCTTTGCTAAGGAACTTTATGGAATAGTTTTTTCTTAATTTATTTAAATTGGCAGCAGACTCCTTCCATTCAAAAAGGACAGACTGACCTAAGTCTTTTTGCTTACCGATGCAGTAAACCACTTTTACAGATAGACTTTAATCTGCAACAGATTAAGTAGTCTTCAATTTTAGGTTATGTAAAAATGAAAAAAGGAAATTTAATATCTGTTCATTTGTGACAAGTGAAGACATGCTGTTTATATGTTGCTTCATGCACATATAAAAATTTAAAACTGTAAATCCATGTGGACTGCAAGGACAGAAAAGTTTTCTTCACACAGCTAAATGCTGGAGTCTTTACTTAGGCCTATATTATCAAATATACATTCATGCATGAGTAACACATGTAAAGCAAATGTTCTGCTGTACATTAGAGCTCCACAGTAATCTCATTGCTTATTTAAGTATTTATAACTAAAAATTGATATGGTGTGAGAATTTTGGAGAACACTCTTTTGGAGAGACAGCTGGTACAATAGATGGCAGCATAGATAGATATTCTGTACTTGGTTAGGAGCTTCACCTCCACTAGAAGCCTAGAAGTTTCTTCAGTAGGAGTCATTTCTAGTCTTATCTTTCATTTTTGTTTACCTGAAAAAGATGGTGGCACTTGAGTAACTTTGGGCTTGTGCAGGTTTTCCCTGCCTGAGATCATCTGCTACTTGTTTCGGCAACATACCTGTGGTAGAAAGTAGTGCATTGTTACTTTTTTGACATGGTAAAATCACACATTAAACATAACATGCTTGTTTAAAGGTGAAAAGCAATGATTAGAAACATGAAATATTACAAAGATTGAAAAACAGTTTGGCATCAAAATCTGCTCTGCTGTAATGTGAGAATTCACAGTAATCTCACTGATAACATGTCCAGATATTTCTGATGGCCCATAACTTTTAGTTCCAAGAAAACCCCCAAATCTATACATTCCAAGGAAGTATAAGGATAGATTTTATTAGTATGACTTGGGATTTTACTAATTCCTTCCATGCCAACTCTTTGCTAGTGCTTTCTACCTGTTTTAGGTTTGTTTACTATCACTTCTCTGTTTTGTTTTTTTAATTGTCTTTATTTCTCCTGTCTTGCACCTTCACACTTTTTTTTCTCTCTCATATGTGTATTCCTGTTCCTCTATGCCTCTTTTCTTGCATAATGCCAGAGGATACACTACAATCAAAAGTAACCAACTGCAATTCCCCAACATTTAAAACTAAGCAGGACTGCCATGTAAATCCAAAGTCAGAGCACTATGGATTCTGGGGTCATACCTCTCAGAGGAGTGTACTGGTTTCTAGGGGGGAAGTATAGAAAGTAGGTAAATATCTTTCCAACTTTGAAAGTAACAATTATATTCATTCCTTGCTACTAAATAATAACTTATCAAAGGGTTTCTGTTTGTAATTAGACAGCTGAAATAAAATTATTATTGAGAAGAATATCCAGTATTTATAACTTACTATACAATAGACGATCAGTCTTCTGTTTTTCATGCATTAAATCCTGGGTTCTCTCAGAAACCAGTACCTCCAGATGTTTGTTATATTTCTCCATCTAAATAACATAGAGAATTGCATAAAATAATCTTTTTGCTGAAACAGATTCATAGTTGGATATGATTTAAGCATTTGAATGATTCTGCTTGGAAAACACTCTGAGATAAGAAAAGGTGCAGGTCTAAGACACCTAAAATTTTTCTACAAAATCCAAAGATCTAAGTTTCCCCTTAGGTAAATTTATGAATCTAGATCTGAGATTGCTGCTTGACAGCAGAAGCTGATTTGAGATTTTTCAAAGTTATTGTAAACTTTAGGGGTCTAATCCAATGCACAGACCAAGCTGCAGAGATGGATTAAAATCTCACCAAAACAAAAGGTATCTAAGTCTCAGACTTTCATCAAAAGCTCACTATGTTGTTTTGTAAACTATCCTGCTGTGCTAGTCTACATTTTGCTTTCTTATATCCTTCCTCTGTGTGGGGTAATAGGCTGTGGGAGCAGGAATCTCCTTTCTCTGCTCATGGCCTTGAGATACTCTGCTCAAAATGCATCTGTAAACATGCTCTTTGTGGCATACCAGGATTCCATATCCCTGGTGCTGTAAGACCACTGAGTCATGGGAAAAGGGGAATATAGTATCCTGTAAGCACATTAAACACCAAACAACATTTGACTGAAGAAAGTGTTCAGCCCCAAAGAAGTTGAGAAAGTTAAGAAAAAGGACAGAAATTGAATGAGAAGGAAAGCTGTGTCTCAAGCAGAACTGCAGCTACAATTAGCCAACCAGAGACGAACAAATAACTGGGTTTTCTCACCAAACAAGGGGTATGAGATCAAAAAACAAACCTGAAGGATACAGGTGAAAGCGATTGCAAGTGAGCAGACTAACTTGGATTGGAATAAAAAAACTAAATTTACCAGAGTCATCATCATGTCAACAGGGCTAACTTTATTAGGATTCATCTTGTACAACATTTTCTTGATTTGTTCAAATGTAGGCCTTTGGGATGGATTATTTTTTCTGCACCTTCTGATTAACTGCAGAAGAAAAAAAGAGTGACAAAAGCAAACAGCCTTTTATCATTCCAAGCATAGGCAGTTTTTAAATTAATACTATTATTTTTTTGTACAAACCGGTCATCTGCAGCTGGTGAAAAGTGTCAGAGATATACTGAGGTCTGTGGAATTCTACAGGTTTTTGCTGAACAAAGGATGTTAGTTCATAAAATTGCTGCTGTGGGAAATCATGAATTAGATACACACATTTCTTCTGCTGAACACTACTTAAGCTCTTGTCTTATGTTTTAAGATAGTGTTATGCTGGTGAACTCATACGATTTTCAGAGGACTTCTCTGTACACAAAACTCACAAAAGATTAAAAACTCAACTACTCTTTTAATAATGTTAACTCCCGGCTAAAATCCAGTTCTGCTAATGAGAAGTTTGTTACATTTAGATTGCTACAAACCATCAAAGTCAGTTATACTGCACTTAAACTGAAATAAGGACACCATAATCTTGTTCTAATTTAAGGAAATGCAGGCGGGGGGAAGCTGTACTTTATCAGGCAGTTTGAGGCTACCGAACACACAGATCTGTTGCATGAGAATCAAACCAAACCGATACTTTGCCTGAGACAGAAACTTCATTATTTGAAAGCCCTCTGCCAGGAAGCTAAATGGATATTACTGACATGAAATATGTATGGAATTCAACACTTTATAATAAAATGAAAATGCACAAAAATCAATGATTGCATATTATTACACCCTCAACTGGAGAGAACAACTGAATGTTTCATTATCACAATGACTTTTTTTAATTAAGGATATTAAATAATTCCATTGTTCCTTATTTGAGGAGTACTTCTTGATTTCTGGTTAATTTACATACTGCCATAAAAATTCTGGGACATGTCATAAATTCACTTCAGTAAAGAATCTTTGTACACAATATTATATCTTACTTACCTCTATGTAATCTGTGGGACATGGGCAAGAATTCTCAGCCTTTCCTGAAATTAATTCTGACAAAGGTGGGCACCAAAAATATTCAGCTGAATGCATACTATCTTTCTAGAGTAAAGGGGATTAAACAATGTTGAAATTAGTGGCGTGGTTTTCATGCCAGCCATTGAAATTATATTAGTATTACCATCATTACTTATATAACATCTTCCCTTATCACTTCCTGCTCTGCTTCTTTACATAAGGGTGCAAGAAAGAAAATAAAAAGGATAAAAAAGCATATAACTAGTCTAAACTGTGTCACTTTTTCTAAAAGCTTTTTCATGGCTGAAAGGCTTTAATCTCAATGTTTATATGAGATAAACAATTGAATACCTGGCAAGATATTGGGAAACATTTAAAAATCATAAGGCCTACATTGCTCTATCACAAACTATCATGATTGGAAGAATGGTAGTTTCAAGACTTCATTGTTAAAATTCTTGTTAAGCAAATTATTTCAGAGACAACATGGTTACATATCCAGACCATCTGGTTTCAATTATAAGGTGCATTTTTTTGTGTATTTGCCATTTAGCACTGATCACAAGACACATGCAAAATAGAGATTTTCCTTATGGAGAGAAGCTCATTTGCCTTTCTAGCACTCAAGATTCCACTAAAAGGGCTCTTGCATGGCAGGAAAAGGAAGAATAGAATAAAAAAGAAGATATTAGGACATATGTTCCCTCTGCACCCCTCCCTGCCACCATTAAGCCTCACAGAACTAATCAAAAGTCAGGTTTGGAGCCACATTATTTTTAGCATCTGCTCTTCTTCAAAGGTCTGAAAGGGAAGAGAGGTAGGTGTATGAGGAAGCTCTGATTGCAGTGTTCCATGGGAACTGAACTAACACCGAGAAAATCACAAGGAAAATGTGTACTCAAAAAGTAACTCAAAGGTGCAGTTACTCAAATTTTGGTTTATGTCTTCAGTAGAAACAGAATCAAAGCAGTCATGCAAATTTCACGGGTAGTTCATCTTTACTTACTGGCATAGGGTCACTTCTTGTGGCAATTTCTAGTAAAATAATGGCATAACTGCAGAATAAAAACAAAGCAAAATCTTAATGAAATAACAGTCAATGGAGTCAGTGATTTCTTCTTTCCGTGATTTCTTATTCTTCCCTGTTGTATGACTGAAAGCCCAGTATCTCAAAAGGAAGGATGGCTAAAGTGCTGCTGTGTGTACTGCTCTGGGTTTTCAGAAATCTGTTACCAAACGTTTCATAGCATTATCCTCTCACAGTTATCAAGCCCAGAGATAAAGAGTTTGAATTTGACAGATAGCAAAGCAATTTTCTCTGGAAGAATTAATGGAATCCAGAGGTGATATGTGCAGAGATGTGTACATAATCCAGTTAAACACAGAGGACTGATTTGTGCTCCAATCAAGGGGCAGGAGTAGGTTCATCGTGACCATCAGTTGGAGGATTGGCTTCTTTTCAGCACAGATCACTGTCTAAAAAATCTCCATAAAGTCAAGGATTACACAGTGCGTCCAGAATAGATATTTTATAGTAGACATGTCTGCTTGTTCCTTCTGAATTATATTTTCCTCATCATCATCTTCCTCAGTTGAACCAAGGTCAAACATATTCATCAAGGAAGAAGAATGGAAAAAGACACTAACAACTGGGTGTTAAACCTCCCCACTGAACCCACTAGAGACCTTTTAGAGCAGTGATGTCTCAGAAGCAAGCACCTCCTCCAGCCAACAGGCCTGACAAAGATGCTCGTCTCTTTATATATTGAAACAGTGTAATAATTAACCCCCTGCATGCAGCTCTGCTTGGTAACATTTATGGAGAATATTGGTTTGCAGTCTGTCGTGTTGCTAATGGTTGCTCTGTTCTGTAAGACATTCTGGTTGTATAATGAGATATGTATATCTGTCTTTCAGTCCACTTGTGGACCACCACTGGCAAGTAAAATAATAAATATAAACTATGCTGAATACTGTAGAAATTAATCTGATGAGATTTTTCTATGAATTTTGGGCTGATTTGGTAGTAGAAAGCAATATCAAACCTGGTGAGACAACAGAGCTAAAACAGATTTTAGAGGAGAATAATTAGATGATGGTAACTCTGATAAAGAAGTATTGATTCAATTCATCTTTATCAGCACTGTTCAATAAAGTCCTAACATAGTGGACATTAAGATTCACATAATGAAATCAGGGGGAGCTGATCTTGGAGAAACTGTGAGTGGTAACAGCCTCTTCAGCCCGAATCAGGAGTTGCTTTCGTGCTCCTGTTCTCATTTCCATTTTAGCCTTCCCATCTGACCAACACTTTCCCCAGAGAAGTTCAAGAGCAAGTGATTCATCTGTAAGAGCATAGTAAATTACAAGTCCCACTCCTGCAGTTTCTACTAATTTTTTATTTGGGCCTCATCTTCAGAAATATTAATGGAATTTTTGCACGGATAAAAACTGGGGATTTCAAGACTGGGTCACCGCTCCCTGGCCAGTGAGCCCACATACATGTATCAGGAAGGCTTAACCCCTGCTCATATCATCAAACACAAAATTTGTTAAAAGGCAAATTCTGAAGAATAGCCCAGATAAGAAGATTTTTTTTAATCATACAGGGTACATCTTTATCTTCACTGTCTCCATGTTGATCTTCTCCCTCTTCTGATTTTATCTCTTACTATTTTATTTTTTTTCTACCAAGAAAGGATCAAGTGCAGTACCACAAGAGTAGATCTGGATTTTGCAAATACACAGATTGACAGCAAGATAGATTCATTGAGTCTGTCAAAAGTTCATTGTAGTCATGTATGACATGAGTAAAGCAGATCTTAAGACTACTTTAAGGGGAATCCTTGGCAAGAAATGCTTTCAGGAGGCCAAGTTGCCTGCAAAGTCAAGTAACAATATCATTTCCAAACAGGAGCAAAGCGAGAACAGAAAAGACTAGGAAACATTTTTGTGGCAATGATAAACTGGAATGTATGAGACAACCCTAAAATTATTGTTTAGTTGGAGCACAGTACTTTCTAACACCACTCCATACTGAAAAAATACAGACTGACCCAGGATGAATGACGGTAGCCAGAAATACCAACACAATCTCAAACTACCTTAGCTGAACCATTTTCAAGCAAATTCTCAGGTTGTATTTAAGCCTATAGACATAAATACTACTGTGATCTCAAATTCTTGCATAGGTAACCTGACAGAATGGATTAAAATTAATAGTGTTCTAGCACATTTAATATGCATACACTTGTTTACAACTGTAATCCCACTTATCTGAAAAGTGGTTGTATAGAAGCTATCCACCACTGGCAGGGCTAAACTTGATTGCCAAATAAGCCATTGGAAAATGCTATTCTATAAAAGCTTTCAAAAGGAAAGGGATGAAGCTATTCACTAGTGCATCTATTCTTCTTCTGACCTTTACTTTTTCCTCTGTAAACCAAAAATGTCACTGTGTATATGCAGCAAATAATGTATAGACATTAATTATGAAATTATGGGATGCATACGTTTATTGTGACATCCTGGAACATTGGTTCTACTAACTTTTAAAGTATTGACATTATTGAAAATAATCCACCTTCTCGTAAGAAACAGCAACAGAAAAAATGGATGGATAGATAGTAGCACATCTTTATGCCTTTTTATCTACCAGTCTAGAGTGACTCCTTATAATTCATTTGGCAAACTTTCCATTTATATTCAGTGAATGCAGTATTTGGTTATCTACCTTGAAAGAGAAGATCCTATGTTATCTGTGCTATTTTCTATTCCAGGACCAATCTTCTAAAAACTACAATCAAACATATACTTGGAGTGACAACAGAATTATACTGAGCTTAATTGTCATTTAAACATACTCGAGATTACTAAGTGCAAGATCAGGAAAACTTAACTACCTGTAGACATCTGTCATAGAATTGGGTTCAAACTCCGAAAGTGAATGTATTTCAGGAGCTGTGTAAATCTCTATCAAATGCTGCTGGCATGAGCTTGATCCCTCAGGAGAATCTTCTTTTCTGTATGACTGCAAACCATAATCTAGCATGAAAGAAAACAGGGAACAAACTATTCGGTGGGTACTTATCTGAAACGCATGCAATAGTAGACAGTAACATAACTAGTCTAAAGGAATTAGTTTTCCCTATTTTAAATACACATGTTAGTCTAGAAATAGTGTGGTTTTGGTGGTCTTGCCTCCCTAAACAATTGCAAATATAGCGACTGGAAACCAAATATATAGGTAGGACTGCATAACAGCAGGGAAGTTGAACTATGTAACCTCCTCCAATCAGAATTATTTTATGATTTTATCAAATTATATTCAGATAATAGTCTCACCTCAGTGCAAGAGTTAGCCTGTAAATGCAGGTTTTTGTTCTACCTTGTGCCTTGATACTTATCTCTGGTGGCAGGTTGCTAAAGTAATTATTAGTTAGACAGACTAACGACTGAAAAGCAGATGGTGGGTGTTACTTGCACACCACTAGCATCAGAACAAAGGCAGCATAGATGTGAAACATCTCTCCATCTATATTTCTAGCCTAATATAGAAGGGATGCTCAGCATATGACTCAGAATCGGTGAGAAGGAAAAAAAAAACAACCAACTTCATTTTTCTTTCTTACGTAAACAGCACTCTGCTGTGTATGGGAAGGTTGGATGCAGATGTCTCCTTTTATCTGGAGTGACCTCTAAATAAGATGGTCTTAGAGATTAGTTCTTTATGTTGGAGGTAATTTTTCAAATAGCTCCCACATTCATTATTTGTGATGTTGGTTTGATATTATCACATCCAGATAAGCCATGAAAATTTGAAATTGCTACAGTGGAACTATATAACTTCTGAATGATTTCACAGGGATTCTATTTAACTGAGATGAGCTGTGCTAAGGTGATGTAGCTGATGTAATCCAACTAAGTCTATTTTTTATGCTTTTCTCAAGAACAGGCTTTAAGCAGAGCAGGCAGTTCTGAAGGCAGTAGAATACTGAACAACTTGGAAAAGCAGGCCTGTCCCTGTGTGGAAGCCTTAGTCATAGGATATTCCATTAAAAAACAAATCTGTTGCTGCTTCTTTTAGGATGGCTATGGGTTAGAGGGTGTAAAAACTTTGGAGAGAAAGTAGAAGAGATGATCATTGCCTTAATTTGCCTTGGCAGCTGCAAACTAAACTAGACTCTTCAGTGGCATTCCTGCTTCCACAGGCTGCCTTCCTGTTCCAGGAGCAGACTGGAACTGTAGCTCTGTCTCTGGGAGAATACTATTCAGTTTTGTGTAAAGGACTGAAAAGCTCTGAATGAGTCTATTTTTCTCCATGAAACTGCATTGTGTTTACCAATCAGTCAACATTACTACACATCTTTGTCCATGGCTCAGGTTTTCTCACTGTATCAAAACTGAGAATGAGGCAGAGTTTCTCCTCAGACTGATGCTGATAAACTCCATCCTTTGTGCAGTCTGATGAATGCATCAGTGACACATATTAATTCACTTTACTTGATAATATAACATGAAACTTGCTTTAGCACAGGCCACTTCTACTGAAGTCTGGTACAGTTGGCAATTCCACATGAAACATCAGCATGAAGCACTTGGAAAGAGTGTTGAGTGTGAAATCTATACACATTAGTGGGTTAGCAGACAGTTTTGAAATTTTTTTCTTATCTACTTTTTACCTGCAATTTTGCAAACCCACCGGTCATCTATCACACAGTTATTAGACTTCAACCGTCCATGATACATTTTGTGGTGGTGAAGATAAGCCATTCCTTGTGCAATATCAGTAGCAAAAGAAAACCTGAAAGATAAAAGTCAGTAAGCTGATATTTCCACTAAACTTTCAGTCAAGAGTGGCTCCAAAGCCTACTGAATTTTACAGAAACACACCTTATAGCTTTCAATTTGTGTTCCCATGCTCAGTTTTCCAAAATATTTAAGGTGGGTGGCTGAAAGCCCTTAACTCCCACTCACTTATGTGAGCCTGCAGGCCTTTAGCCTCTATTAAGACAGCCGAGTTTCTTCTAGAAATTGCCAGTACTTTTGTATCCTTGGGAGCGTTTTCAAATGTTTACAAGAGAAACAATTTTATTAGCTTCCTCACTTTGTTTGGAAGTTTTCTTTCCTCAAAATCTTTTTCTTTGCTGAAGGCAAACATAAAGCAGAAGCAGAAAGGGTGTGACAAGAAGATCAATTTCAAAAAACAATGTCATTGCCTTTGTGGAAGTTTCATCAACAATATGAGCTCATTCTCTCTGTTGGTAGGTATAATAAAGCATTTGTAAATATGCTAACCAGGTAATCAATATGTCTTCATAAACAAAGGTGCAGTGATTTTTAGTTAAATAGGGATGCTCAAGATATTTGGGAACAAAATTAAGTTTCACGGGAAAAAAGGTTTTAAAGCAGTTTCTGCAGGTCTCTCTAGGCAAGAGTTGAAAAGTCTTTGCCTTAGCATGACCAGCACTAAACATATGATTTATCAAAAAAAATGGAAGACAAGTTGGACTGAATATTTGAATTTGCTTGCTTGCTTGCTTCTTCATTCTCTCCATATCACAGTACAGGCTTCTCTCTCCAAGAACATCATCTAAAATTTAACATCTTTCCCTAAACAGCATATATCACAGTATGCCTCATTTAACTTCTCAAAACTTTGTTTCCTACCTGAAACCCCAGTTCAAAGGAATGTCTTCATTGAAGAGCACATCACTCAGGCTTCCCTTGGGGCAGTACTCCGTGACAATGGCAACATTTGGGACTTCTATACAACCTCCAATGAATTTGCAGAGATTGGGATGGTCAAGTTCCCTGTGAAATTCAACAGAAATCACGACATAATGGCAATTTTCATGAATGTGCCTCCTCCTTTTTATACGGTAGATGCAAAGTGCCTTGTCTTACAATGTAGAGAAAAAAGTAAGACGGGAATAAGGAGATTTTGATCTGGTGTTAAACCAAAATTTGAAAGAAAGAGGAATGTGAATTTATGGTCACATTTTAAACCCAAAAGAACCAGTCAGAAAAGGAATAACACTATTCAGATTTCACTTCTTACCTCACTTGCTTTACTTCTTTACGTATGGATCTAGACAATGTGAATGCTTTCTTCATTATTTTCTTTATGGCCACTGTTCTACCATCACTGAAACAGAATGAAATGCTATTCATAGAGTTTTAGACCAAATTCCTAAGCCAGCAATACTACAAAAATGGACAAGATATACTTTCCAGAGTGGAACAGTTTCATACAATTAGAGATGAGGCAGAGAATTTAAGCATTTCCATATGTGCTTGTAAATCTGAATCTATGACAGCTGACAGGACCCTGTTTCTACTGACAAAGGAAGAATTAGTGATTGCATTCAAGCAATCTTGATCTGTGAACAACATTCGGATTGTGAGCTTTAAGGTCAGTTGAGGCAGATCAGTGATGGAGTAGCAGCAAAGGAAGTGTCAGAGAGAGAGAAACACATATAGCCACATCCCTCCTTATCCATGACTTCTGGCTACCATTCTGTAGATCCCTCACTGACATTTCACATACTTCTGTCCTCATGGGGCTAAGCATTCTCAGCAATGAAGCAGCTGAGTTTGATAGACAACAAAGCAATTTTCCCTGTTAAAAGAATCCAATGGAGACACCTGCAGGAATTTAAGTGATACCCACCATATAAATACAGAATATGGGGTCTGTGGTGTAGCAGCTGTAGGTGCTTTGCCAATGAGACTGAATGCCCCATTCTTACCTTTTTCACCCTTGCTGAATATTTTTAACCTTGAGGCATCTGAGGAAAATGATAATGACAATGATGATGAAAATGTCACCATTCAGAAAGAAGAAGCAAAAATGCCTAATATAAAAGATCAGTGCTACATCACAGTGTTACATCAGTGAAGTGGCTGTGATTTTCCACAATCTATGCTGAAAAAGCAGCTGTTCCCCCAGCCAATGATCCTAAGTAAGCTTCTTTATCCTGCAAAGCACAGATCTTGCCCTACATGTTCCAATGGTAGGTATTGCTTCCATCTTTGCACGTGTTCCCCTCCTACCCCTTATTTATACTACTTTTATGTGAAAAATTGCTTTCTGGATAGCAAGATATACCTATACCATCTGTCTACATAGATGTGCACCCTTATAATTTGATCCAGAGGTGAAATGCTCTGAACATTCAGTCACATTAGCTGGTTTAAGGACAAGATTTCTAACATGCTGCTGTAAAGGGTGCCACTCTTTAGTGCAGAGAACCTAGCTGTGCTCTGCCTGCATTTTAGAAAAAGGGCTTCACAAAAACCTTGGTTCCAAATATGTCTGAACAGCAAGGACCATTCTTTAGCAGACTGTAGTCCCTAAGAGAAAAGGAGAAACGAAAGACAAACCAGAAGCCTGGCATATAAAATATTCCACAGCCAATATTTGGTACGGAAGTCAGATGATGATCTTAACTTACCGGACTTGGCCTAACAAGAAAAATTCAAGCTTTTTTACTCCCTATTCAACAGTAAAGTGGCAAGAACCAGAAATTCAAGGTGGAATTGTAATACAGTAGGCACTGAAGTAAATTAGTAATATATTGACTTACTATCTCCCAGTCTGGGTGAAGTATTGTTTCCTGGACATGTTGGCAGCTGCTGTGCAGGAGCTCAGAGCAGTGATACAGCTGACGTTGGAGACACTGGGTGCTGGGGGAGCACTCATCATGCTTCCTGTTACTGTCCGCATGACATGATCTAAACGGGATGTGAGATGAGAAAAGTCACCTGAAGATGCCTATTATTCCACAGGCAGAGACTCCAGAGGCAAACAAATAAAGGAAATTCTCCAAATCTTTACATCTCAGCTGCTCTTGTTAACACTTAAGACAGAAAACCATTGCCTGGGATGTGACTGCTACATAAAAAGTAAAAAAGTTCCAAAGATGATTCATTGCCAGAGATCTTTCTCACTAATCTTCAGGATCTGATGCAATTTTTACTTCTCTACCCCTGACATGATTAGCCCTTGCTGCTACATAGATGCTGAGGACAGAACCCAGGGAAGGAGAGCAAGCCCTGTGCTATACTTTAACAAGTCTATTTGGAGCTCCTAGAAGACTGTAAAGTACAGGAATGTGGGAAGTGATTCTGACACCAGACTGAAGTCAGAGAAGAGCAACAATGCAGAAAAAAATACACAGTGATCTCAATGTATGTTTTTTAATCTCTGTTGACCAGCTCAAGGTGACAAAGGTACTTCAAAACAAATTCAATAATTACATATTGTGTAACCATGTCCAATTAAAATCCAGATTTAGCCAAATAGTCTCAGAAATGCTGAGAGCTCTCAAGTCTGGTAGAAATATCCAATAAAGTGCTGCTGAGAAAGTTCAGCATCTCAGCTTGGATTAGAACTGCCATGTTCCCACACCACAGTATTATCCATATGCAGGTCAAAATTGCATTGACATTTTAAGTCTTTCTACGGCATTCCACCCAGAAATATATTAGAAATCCCTGAGATGGCTTTGAGAATAAGAGTGTGTATATAAGAGTGTACATCTATGTCTCTATATGTGGTGCAAAGCAACAAAAAGAGAAGTTATCTTGAAAAAATAAGGCTAATTTTTCATTTTACAGGCTACATACCCTGGGTAGAACACTGATGATCTGTTTCCATTTAGATAACTGTGCATTTCAGGCTACAGTGGGTAGCTCTGAACAGCTATATCCAGAGAAGACATACTGGCTGTTACTAAATCTCATAATGTTATCAGTCCCCATTAAGTTGTTAATTATCACTCCTAGGTCTTAAACAATATTGTTGCTTTGCAGGTTTCTCTCCAAGAAAGCTTGTCTTTCTTCTTTGATTTTTCAAACTAATTTTTAATGTGTTATTTTTTGGTCATGCTTCTAGTTTCTCTGAGTCTCTTTTTAATGTTTCTCCTCATGTGTGATGTTTATGACATTTTCTGATTCACTATTAGCTGAAAATTTGGTCTTGTTACATTTGCTATATTGAAAGACACTTTCCTCCATTTCTGTATTCACAAATCTGGATTTAAATTCATTTTGATTTATGTAATCAAATTAATTCCTAAGCCAAAATTTCTTATTACAGCAAAAAGAATATCATATCAAAGCTATACAAAAATTAAGGCTGAAAGCATCCCTACTATATATTATCACAAGAACATCTTGACACTAGCAACACAATAACATAACACAGATAAAGCAGACATCTGCTTAGCAGTTCCTCACAGACACAAACAGTGAGAGAGTGTGCATCAGTACAGGCCTACAAACTTCAGCAGATTTCTTCAGATTTACCCTTTCTGAAGATCTAGGTACTGTTTTCCTTCTGAATGCTAAATCATGAAACAGCAAAGTAAATAATCTACGCCTATTTTAAGAGTAGCACAGTAAAGCATATAATAAGATCTGAATTTATTCTTAATTTATTTAATTAGAACTCATTAAATCATAACTTATAGTCAGAAGATAAAATAGGAAAAAACCCATTGGCCACAATGAATTACTTTTTGCAGCGAGTCTGTCACAGATAGCATACACTGAGAGAAATTATGATCGTGTTATATCATAATATATCGTGCAATTCAGGGGCAACTTAGAGACCAATTATACAGAATGATACACTCAGTGAAGTAATTGTAATTTATTTTGTCCAAGTTCAGAAGTTGTCTGTTTATTTTGGCATAGGCTTGTCTTTTTCAATTGACAAATCAATGTAAATAAAAGGAAGGAAACTATTTAAAATAACTTTGACATCTGAAGCTTTAAGAAAGAAACATATCAGTGACCAGCTCACAGAGGTAACAGGGATGAAACATTGGATATGTCTTTCACAGATTGGTTCACTTTTTGTAAGACCCTTGAAATGTAAAAATCTACTTATAATGGAGATTATTTCTCAAAATTATGAAAGAAACTGATCACAGTATCAAAATGACAAGTTACTAACCTTGTTTGATGCAGGTGAAATCTATAATCCAACTTTCATCCCAAAGCATCTTTTGTTTCTGATATTGAAACCACTACAAAAATAAATCAAATTCATTCCTAATATAGCCCCAATGCCTTTGAAGAAATTGAACCAGAGATTATTCTTATAAAATATGAAAGTGTATAAGTATCCAAACCAAATCTGATATTTAAACATTCAACATACATCTTATGAGTAACGTTTGAACCAAATGTATTAATAAGAGGCTTAGAAGAAAACAGCACATAATAAATATATTAAACACTGTACAGTCTATATTCTAAAAGTAATTACGTGCCATATTTTGCATTGGCTATAAACTCTCCATTATTATCAATGTTTATGCATTTATATTTCAGCCTGGACATCAAACGAGTGGTTCACATCCCCTCATGTCATGGACATGTGTTATGCTGTGTAAGTGTATGACAAGAACACAATACATCCCAACTCCAAGCCCCCAGCCTACAAATTAGGCCATATTATATCAAGTACTCTAGCATAAAGAGTATTAGGTAGGGAATCTCTGGCTACTTGAAGCATCAGTGAAGAAGGCATTGATCTAATAGCTGATTTTTTGTAGAGCTGATGTGAAAAACTAATATACAAAGTATAAATACATGATTTCAAATGAGCACCAGTTTAAATTATACAGTTTTAATGGTTGCAGTCAATGCTAAAATGTCAAATCAAAGCAGCGTTTTACCATCATTATAGCATTTCCTAGAGAGTGGAATTATACTAGGAATGATGCATGTTTTCTCTGAAACAGGTGACAAGTTCATACACAAGGAACATGATGTGAAAATTGTATCAACATAATTGGGAGAAATTCGTGGCAAATATAGAGCCCATTAAATCAAATTATTTTATCCCATTTATTTCAAAAGATTTTTGAGGAAAGAAACCTACTTTTATCTTGTAGAGGTATGACTGTACAAAGACTTATTACCAGGAAGTGACTATTAGGCTTGCTATAGACACTTGATATCAAACGAATATCAAACTTGATATCAAACGAATCCTTTCTTCTACTTGAGTGATTAAAGAAGGCATTAGTTTCCAGATGGTTCTTTCTACATTTTATGAGTAACCGAATTGGATAAAATAATCTTTCCTAGCTTGCTACAATAAAACCAATAAAACTTTTTTTAAAAAAAGATGCTGTTATTGAAGAAGTTATCATTACATCATTCCCATATCATTATACATATAGGAATATGTATACAGAAATGCAAGAAGAAAAAATACAAACTCAAAACCTGCAGAAAAATAGCAGAAATAATAGCTAAATTTTGCTACCAGACATTTAAAGAAGCCTATGCAAGGCCAAGAAACTGGATTGCTCTTTCTAAAATGCAAATGCCTGTTATTTAAAACCTTTCGAAATTCTCATCTGTCCAATTACACATTTCTGTCAGATCGTATGATTTCACGGGACAGTTACCATAAAGTCATTGTCACAACTTTTTTGTGAACTATAAATACTCAAATAGTTCTCAACATTGCTTCTGTTCCTAACTCACAAAGCCACAGAGTGAGGCACAGAATAGAGAAAAAAATCTTATTGCGATTCAGGCATCCCTTAGTACCTCAATTTGTGGACCATCAGCCTTCTCCTGCTCACTCCCTCTCAGTGTAGTTGCCTACTGCAACTGCAGCACAAGATAGAAAGAGAAGGAATTCTTGAGGAAAGAGTAGCTTATTGTTTTACAGGATTTATGGGCCAAGCTCCAAACAAATTATCTGCAGGTACATAATCACTATAATGACTCTAAAACTGCCATAATCACCTGTTAAATCTTTGTTAAGAAAATCATAAATGTATTTTTTTCCAAGACGCAGACACATAAAGGTTATAGATCATCTTTCCCAGAAGCACTGTGAAGTAATAAGCCATAATACCATGCTGTCTCCTATTTATATAGACTTTTTTATTCAAAGACACACAAAACTGCTTCTCGATTACTCATACATTCCTCATTCCCTTTTTGCTTTTCCTTCATGAGTCTGTTATAATAATTGATAACCACTATGCAAAATTAATCCCTTTGAACTGAACCAAGCTGGTTCAGCTACACTAAGAAAATGAACCTATTAAAAAAACCCAGCCAACCAAAACAGAAAAAAAAAAAGATTCTCTTCCCATGATTTCTTTTGAGAATATCTCAAGTTGAATGTTTTGCATTACAAGTTGTATTTGGACTCTGAGATTTAATGGCCCCTGAAGGATCTAGTCCCCTAATGAATTTACCTAAATTGTTTTTTAATAGTTTTATAGTTCTGGCCTCCATAGGACTTTTTAGCAGTTAATTTTGTAACAGAGTTTTATTCTGAGTGAAAGGTACCCTTACTTTTCTGGCATCCCCTACTTCCCATTTTGAAAAACCTCTTCCTCTTTTACAATGACATATCCACCCCGCTGTAGTCTTCTCTCTACAGAATGAAAATTCTAACACAATGAGACTTCTCTTACAAAGAAACCTTAATAGTTTTTTTTCCCTTCTTTCTCCTTTCTTTCACAGCACAGAGGTTCTGGATGAAGAAGTTCTATCCCTCTACTAAGAGAGAGCTCCACTCTATCCAATAAAATCATGGAAGCAAGAGAAAAATAGAAGAGGAGAGAAAGGATACTTACCATGACTGTCAAAATGAAGCCAGTGCAGACTAAACATATTGGTAAGGCAATTGCTATCCTGGCATCAGCAGAAAGTGGGCATTCCCCACAGTCTGCTGGACAGATAGAACAGCCTTCCTCTTCCTCACAAAAGCCATCTCCACAGACTGATTAAAAAAGGAAACATGTATCAGAATATTTTAAGGCAGTTTTATCCATTTATGAGGTAGTATCCTGATCTAAACACATGGTTCTTGAGCTAGGAAACCTCAGAGTGCCAGAAATAATAGTTTTTGAAGAATTCAGAGATATCATCTCAGCAGCTGAAAGAGCAATCTGAATTTCTGAAGTGATGCAGGATCTCTTTGATCAGATTAAATGTTAATTACATCAGAGGCTTTGACATATTTTGTGTATAAAACACTTCATCACTACTACTGTGTTTTTCATTGTTCATATGGAGTTTTTCTCTGAAACACAAAGTTCTTCAAGGCAGGCATTTCCTTTTTTATTTTTGTACTTAATCCAGCCCTTGTGATCCCCAGAAGCCAGTGACCCTTATTCAGCAGCAGAATACACTGGAAACTGCAGAAAGAAATCTTACAAGGATTTCTTTTACTCCAAGATCTTTTATAAATCATCCACAGCATCTGATGGGATGTAAAACAGAAGCCCTGAAGGACAAAATTCCTTCTCCCATGTCCTGAATGGTCTTTCAGTTTTACCTCTCTGACTAAACTAATATCATGCTGTACTTCAGCCTTGTGAGATGAGCTCAATGTAATAATGTCAATATGTACTTTTTTTAAAAAAAAAAAGCCTTAACAAAACAAAATCCACTGCTCAGTAATAATTCTGTCTCAGCCCCATTAATTCCAGTATAATGCCAGGATAATAACAGAAGTCACTTTCTGTCTGAGGGGAGCTGCATTTTTAACATTTCTTTTCTGATAAAGTGTAAGTTTCCTGGAAAACTCAGCTACTGTTGCCTTGAAATGGATAGAAAATTCTATAGCTAAATACTTCCATTCACACTGGAGTTGCTTCAGTCCTTTTTATTTTTCCATAACACTGGGAAATATATTCTCAGATTTCCAGAAGAGTAGCTGAAAAGTACTGTGATGACATTCCTATCTTAAACAATATTTTTCTTCAGGTCGTGTGTTTAACTTATTTAACAAAGTCCAATTTTTAAATTTTACATTGCTAAGAGAATTGCTACAGTTATTTCTTCTTCCCTTCATACAGCTATACTAAAGTTAATGAAAGACTGATGCCTTTGGGAGTAATTTTATTTTTATGTGAAAAAGAGAACCAATACGGATTTCTACCAATCCAATTTGCTTAAGGCTTGTCTGCTCCTCTTCAGATGAAGAGTGTTCAGATTCTCAGAACATTTTTTAGAAGAATATTCTCACATCCCCATGAACTGCAGACAAGCCTTGTAGTACCTGAAGCCATTGATCATGCTATTTGATCATCACCTTACTTATTTGACAAGAGTGGCTTTCTGCTGTTCTAGATTAATACAAGTTAGAAGCTCAAACACTTTTTTGGATGTTCAGTATTATGTGAAGAAGAATTTCAGAAAGACATTTGTGTATTTTCAATGCTAAGTTGCGGTAGGAGGTACTTTTGCTCTTGGTTACCATACATGAATAATAAAAGCATTCAGATTTGCAGTCAGTAAGCAGTTCCCTCACATTTTCCTTTTATATCATACCTACTGCAGGAAGGACTGTGGTTTTTGCTTCCAGAGCAGCTTGCATTTTCCCAACTCGGATGTGTGCAATGAGAGAAGTCACACCCACATGAACTAAAACAACCTGCCAAACAAGTGAACAAAGCAGCAAGCATCAAAGTTTCTCTTGCATACACTAGGCTTTACAATAAGAACTGCCCAGTTGTGATGACCTTCAAAAGAATTTGTGCATGTTTTTCAGAATCAGGAAGGGCAGGTGTCCTTCACTGTGTGGGCAAAATGGAGGAGAAGAGACAGCTCTTATGAGAAAGGCAGATCTGAGTGCCCTCCTGGCGTGTATTCTTTTCACCAAGCAGGGCTACTAGGCCTGTGCATTCTGCCATGTCTGCTTCTCTGTTATTTCTGCCAGGCAGAAACCCCATAATGATCATATGAACCTGCATTACCGTCCAGTCAGTAGTGCAGTATATTGTTAGTGTTGGCCTTAAATGGACTCATTTTCCTCCCATCCCCATTGCTTCCACCAACTACATAAGGCATAAAACTGATGCTTTCAAGTCAAGTCAGTTGGGAATGGATATTACTCAGCTATATGCATCATTTACACACATAACACATAAATAAATGGTTGGGGAGCGTATACATGAAGTGCTTTAAATTACTAGCAAGTAAGCTCCGAAAAGAGCAAACCAGGTAAAATGCTATATGCAATAAATATAGTTTACCTTGGCAGTCCAGTTTCTTTGGCTCATTTTTCCAGCAGTAGACAAAGTGTGAGTAAATATCTGACCATCATCTGGGATCCATGGACCACAAATTCCTCCTTTACCCTTTAGTAGACATATTGCTTATGTCAGTAAAGTACAACACACTGGAAGTCCTAGTTCCTCTCTTTTACCTTCTCAAAATTACTTATGCTCTCTAACAGCAAATAAAGTGATATTTTATAGATAATTAATATGCCAAAACACAAGCAACACTGTTCTGTGACAAAATAAAAGATAAAATAAGAGACAAGCAATTGTTCCCATACTGAGTTAAAATGTCACAAATATTGTTACCTTTTAAAATACATGATCCCCCGTAGTGTACTCACAGAATGAGTAACCCTATGAAGCTAATTCACTTTTTCAGAAATTGCTGTATTAGAACCAGAGTCATATCCCACTTTTAATATTTTTCTCAAGGGGTTTTATTGAAGTTTTACTTTTAATATAGCAGCTTTTTTTTCCCTTTTCTTTAGCGAGGAAGTGAAGCACCTTTTCATTGTCTGTTTGCACAGCATTTCTCAGTAAAACCATTTAAGATGTAAATCTACAACTGCAATCATGGAGGACTATTTTGGCTGTGTGGTGGTTTGAAAAACCTTTTCTCTGAGGTAGTAATAGTTTGCCCCACTGATAGTACTGGACCAATCAAAAGTCCACATGCGCCCTACAGAAATTACATACCCACAGAAACGGAAGAGAAGGTAGTGAAGATAGTTTAGGAGGTAGGAAGCCATGATCTGAGCCAAGAAGAAGCAGGAGGCCAGTGAGCCCCTCTGGGAACCAAGGCCCCCCAGGCCCCAGCCGAGGCTACGGGAGACCCGGTATAGTGTCAAAGCTGGACCAGGTCCCGTAATCAAGAGCTGGAAGAGTTTCCTTACTGTCAGCAGCAGCAGAAGACATTGACAAGCGGCAGCAGAGCAGTCCTGAACAGAGACAGCGATGGCTAAAAGCCAAAAAGATAGCCAGTAGCAGCGAGATAATGTGAAGCCGGCTGAAAGACACAGAGATGTTCCTGTAGGAGGGAGAGCTGGCAACAAAACAGAGGTAAACTCAACAGAGTTGGTTTGGGGTAAGACTGTAATACTTTCTCAAAACCCAGAGACTTCCTGAAGAGGGGTGGACTTCCAAACCCCTAGGGAGTCCCGAAATGCAGCAGCAGCTAGAGAGAGGGAGAACGGAGCTGAAAACCCAGAGTTGTCCTGACAGCTGATCCAGGACGGAATGCGGAGGAGGTGGTCGTGCCCTCTGCTGCTGCTGTTGCTGTTTCTATCAAGCTGTTGAGCTGGGACAGAGCAAAAGAGCATTGGTAAGACTGAACTGAAAGCTACCTTCAGTGTTCTAACCCAAGAGGAGTGAAGATCTGCAAGGAAATCCCCTGAAGGCTTGGGTTCAGGGTTGGAATTTCCACACAGGAAGAACCAAAATCCTGACTGCCATACTTAAATCTGCTGCCTTGGAAAAAATGGAGGACACTAACCAGTGCCACAAGAAAACTGAAACGAAGGAACTGTGGCCTGAGAAGTGACAGAAAGACTTTTCTCTTTTCTTCTTGGACTTTTATTGAAGAAAAGGAGAAATTTAATTTAATGTAAATATATATGTAGATGTAAATAAACCTTTCTAAATATTTTCCCCTTCCCTCAATAACGAATGGTTGTGTTTTGTCTGAAAACTCTCCACATGGGGTGAAAAAGATATCAAGTCCATACCATCACTAAACCCTCTCACAGGGTTAAACTGTGGGAGGGGGGCTTGAACTTAGAAATTAGATTCTTGGGAGTTTCAAACCACCACAGGCTGTCAAAGATTTTTGGTTTTTTGAAAGGATTCAATCTGTCTCCTATCTCCAGGTATTTCTTCAGGTACTTGTTTCAAAGAACTATAAGAAATAGATTAAATCAAAAGAAATGGAGTCAAGGTAATAAAAATAGAATGTTTTAAAACTCATGATACTGAAAAAAAACCCCAAAAAGTGAAAAATAAAACTTCTCGGACAATGGAAAAAACTTTTTTTGAAGTGTATGTTCAATCTTATGCAGTGATACTCATGGCCTTGCTGTTTGAAAGTCAATCTGCTTAGAGTTCCTCTAAACAGGAACTAAAGTATTCACAGTATTAAGAAGAAGCCAGATGATGCATGTTGGCTAACATGCTTTTGCCATTTCCACACCTTAATTCCAAGCAGTACTAATTGTGAAAGTAAGAAACAATGGAGAGGTCATACCAGTGGTGAGATGTTGAAATTCTTTACTGTGGTTCTAGACAAAAGTATTGGTGTGATGGTCCAACAGGGATTCCTCTTTTAAACCAAAGTTCTGGTTTCAACTAAGGCTCTCTGGGAGTCATTAAGAAAACAGCTTTACAAAGGGACTGCCAAGAAGCAAACTAGAGGTCCTGTGGAGTAATTGGGCCTTTGCACAGAAGGGTATATGAAACAGCTGCAAGATGTGTAGACTAGGTTTTCTATTACACCATCTTTGATCAGAAAGAATGTGTCACATTGCCAGAAGGGAGCTCAACTAGAAAAACTGGGCAACTGCATGAAGGTTAGTATGCAAGGTAAGGCTTACCTGACAGATTAAAAAAAATTAAGGTGTTCCAAACTGTGTTTTTAAAATCAGAACTTTAAGTATTCGTTCAGAGACAGGCCAAGTAGACAAGCTAAGAATGGATCTTGCTAATACTGCATGAAAAAATTTTGTTATCCTGTATTTGGATTCTTTTTTTTACTGTGATATAATGGAGAAAAATCGTTCTATCTCAGGACATGTGTATACAGGCTTCAGTCCTACAAGTTTTCCCCCTGAAGTTATAAAATGGTAAACCCCCAGGGGGTGGTGACCCTTGGGGTTGAGCCAATGAGTGCTTCTGCAAAATATAAACGTATCACCCAGACTGGAAAAGAAGGTGGTTGTAGTAGTTGTTCCTGGAGAGCGTGGCCATGTTCTAAAGACACAAGGAGAAGGGGCAGGAGCCCCTCTGGGGGACCACATCCCCTCAGCCCCCAGCTGGGGTCATAGAAACTTGGAAACAGTGTTAAACTGGATTGAGGTCTGTAGCTGAGAAGCTGGGAGTTTTTCTCCTCCACTGTAAGCAGCAGGAGTAGCGGCAAAAACAGCACTGGTCGGAGACTGTGGCTGAAAGCCAAGAAATAAGGAAGAAGCAGTAGAGACGGCATGTAGCCAAGGAAGACACAGAGTTGCCTGAGAGAGAGAGAGCCAGCAGCAGAGAGAGAACTAAACTCTACAGAGAGAGAGAGAGTTTGGGTAAGAACTGAAACAAACTCCCCAAACTCCTTGGAGACCTCTCCTAGAGAGGAGAGGGGTGGTAATCTTGGAGTGCAGCATGCACTGAGAAGAGAGAGGGGCTGAAAAGCTCAGACGTCCTGGAAAGCTGGACCGGGATGGCCAGACAGAATGTGGAGGGGGTGACCTTGGCCCCCCTCACTGCTGTTGCCAAGCAACAGCCCAAGACAGAGCACAGGAGCTCTGATAGAACTCTTAAGGCAAAGGCCTTCAACTGAAAGCTGCCCGAGATGTTTTGACTCAGGGGTGAATCCCCTGAGGAAGGGACCTTCATGGGGGTCTTACACCCCATGATATGACGTGGTGAGGTGAGTTTTGTCCCTGCTACGCAATCCATGGAAGAGAAAGACCCTCGCTTGGGGTTGAAGGGCCAAGAGGGGCTTGGAGATCCCCCTTGTGTGTACTGGCAGAGATCCAGTACAGCTGCTGCATGGAAGGAGAGAGACTGATGCCCTAGAGACACTGCTGCTCTGAGAGTGGAAAAGATCTCTTCCTTCTTCCCTCCTGGACTTTTATTTGGAGAGAGAAGAGATTTGATCCATTGTAAATACTGTTTTATCATGGTAGAGATAGTTCAGATTGTGTGTGTAATGTATTATAATATTTATTTGTAAAGTCATTGTAATATAATCCTTTCCCCCCATTTTGAGTCTTGTGTGGTGTCTGGAAAACCCATCTCACACTGGGCTGAGATGTGGGAGGAGGCTTGGACTTGAGAATTGGATTTTGGGGCTCTCAAACCATTACACCCCTCAGCTCTAGCAATCCAAGCAAATCATTCACGTTCCCTCTGTAAGCTGGAGAGGCAGGAATACCTCCAACAGAAAATTTGACTTGCTTGTTTTAGAATGCGATGATCTGTCTTTCTTTCCTTATTGGCTGTACAGCAATCCGAGTCAGGTAATCTCAAACTTATGAAACTGGCCCCACTAAACATAATGAGAGATTCTATATACTGCCTTGCCCAAAGATCCAGCACTTGCTTTGTGGCCTGAGGATCCAGTGCAAAAAAATTCTGAAACTGACAGACATCGCCACAGTGGTTTTAGTGAACTATAGATTTGGTCTAATTGTAATTACAGAAAGACTTCGTGAACTTCAACCTGGTTATTAAAATGATGTTTCATCCAGTAGCAAGAACAGAGCACATTATTCTGTACCATCATACTAACCATGAAGGCCAAAGGACAGGAATGAATGTTGGCATGGTAGACACAGCAGTTCTCCTCATTTGCATCTTTCCATCTGGCAGGGCATTCATGCTCCTCACAGAATTCCTTTGCAGCAGGAGCATTGCTAGCCAAGCAGGAGAGAGAGAAAAACTTTTACATCCATTCCTCACTCTCAAAAATTGCAACAAGTACATGACACCTTGTTCTTTATCCTTCTCAGAAAAAATAGCAGCAAAAACGCATGAAGAGACCTAAACACTGTTGCACCACTTCTTTCTCTTCTGTCTCACTTCTGTTTGAAGCATTCCTGGAGCAAAGAAGATTGTTGTCAGCTGGGCCGCTGCCCACTGCCATGCAGTAGGGACATCTGGCAGGTACTGTGCTGCAACCAGGAACCAACCTCAACTTCTCTCCCCAGCCTGACTTCATGACCAGGTGGGATTAGTTGGCACTACCTCATCTAACACAAACACAAACACACCATTACTCACTATCAGATATATGTGTCCCTGGCTACTTTCAGTCTTAGTGTTTTCAGTTATATACCTTCATCTATGCACGTGATTCATACAGATTATTTAGCTCCAGTCTTTGCTCCACAATTGAAATTGCCAAGGAAAATAATCATATTGGATAATAATATCAGATACAATTCCCCAAATCAAAAATGTGAAGCAAAACACAGACTTTATGAATAGACTGTCCTACAAAACGACTCTTGAAATTTCATTCCTGAAAGATGAATGTAGTCACCTGGAAATGTGTGATGCAACACTGCTTCCTCAGTTACACTTTCAGTTGGTTATCACTCTCATAAATTTTGCTTTAAGACAAAATAATTTTTTGCAAACATGGTTTACTCAGTAGACACAGCCAGACTTTTTTGTAGCTTAGTTTAAATGCTATGCACTTGAGATAGATCTCTATAAAACAGTTCCAGAACACAGGGATTTATTTTTCAACTTGTTTTTACTGAAAAAAGGCCTAGTAATGAGTAGATTTAAGACAAGACTGTGTTTATTATGACAAGACTGTGTTAATTGTAAGAATTAAACACAAACATAGAGGATTAGGTTAATATAGATTGTATTCATGGCCAGACTTACAAAGGCATAAAAATACTTGAAACCTGAGATAAGCAAATCTGTCAATCCCCCAAATATCTGAGCAGATAAAATATTA